CACAGCAGCCCATTCCAAAAATCTAAGGCACTTCCTAGGTTTGAAAGCTAACGAGCTTGCTCCGACATGTCTAATCAAAATGGATGAAGCGGGGGAACTCGAAGCGGCAGCACATGAGGTCGGCCTGACACCCGAAACCTCGTTGCCAAATCGATGGCCCCATAATGCTGAGCTGGAAAGGGATATTAGGGAAGAAAAGGAATGTTGCAGATCCATCCACCTCCAGAGTGGGTTGCCGTACGATCTTCACACTCACTCCTATCCCTTCGCATGTCTCTCCATGTCATTCGACAGACCTGCAACATTCGACAAGGCTAAGACCCAATGGGAAGCCTTGACAAAGTCGAAGTTCGATGGCATTAGGCATTGCTTTGGTCAGCTTGTCTATTACCGTAAAAAGGGCATTAATAAGCGCACTCTAGAACCCAACTTGGCACCTGCTTTGTTTTTGGGCTGGAGGGTTGACGCAGGCCTTCGGTATCGCCATGTGGTCAAGGTCCTAGATTATCAAAAATTTAGGACTCGTCGAGCGATTGTAGTGCATGATGTCCCGGAAGCAGAGCTCTTCGTTGAAGAAGGCGAGCCTTGTTTCCCCGTTGCGGCAGCAGCCCATAAGGCGCTGCGGACGGGGGAAGCCGAGGGTGAACTCCCAGAAGTCGCTCTTAAAGAGGTTCCGTTTAGCGAGGTAGCTGAACCGCCGACTCCCGCTCCAGGCACGCCGCGAGGCGTGTACATCACTGTGGATCGGATAATCCGGTTCCGTGAAACACCAGGTTGTCGAGGTTGTACCGGTCGCACCCGGTACCATACCCCCGAATGTCGACGTCGCTTTGCGAGGCTGGTCGATACGGAGAAAGCCGAGGAGCGCTCCAAGCGCTCGGCTGCCGTCGAGGCAGAGCGGTCACTTCGCCCCTCCGAAGCGATTGACCCAGTTCATGCAGCCAAGGAGGCACGTCTCGAAGAAGACGATGCTGACCTTAAAAACGCACTTGAGCTTTCCCGCCTTGAAAAGGCAGATCTATCTGATCCCGATGAGCTCGAGAAAGCACTGAGGGCATCCGAAGAACATGATGATGCTCTTCGCGGCAAGCCAGCTCCGTCTCGGCCAGGGGGGATTCCGCCAACCGCGCCGCCTGCAGCCACAACTGGCGCGGCGGTAACAACAACCGCTGCAACCTCCACGTCACTCACGTGCCACGTAGCCGACTCCTTCACCAAGAGGGAGGCTCGGACTCTGCCTGTGTTCGGCATGCCATGTTCCAAAAGGGAGCCATGCAAAAAGTTTTCCGTAGGGAATAAGAGGGCCCGCAAGCGTATCGCGCGGGGAAATTCTATGCCTGTAATGTTCGAGTATGCATGTTCAAGTGACTCCACCATGGGAGCAGTGCATCAAGCATTAGGCATTCCCCACGTGAGACTGGCTAAAGAACACATCGATCTTGAAACCAATGAAGGGGATGAGCAACTGACCGCTCAGCTGCAGTCTTGTAGCAAGCCTAACATGTGGGCGGCCATTCCGTGCACCTCCGGGTCGCCATGGCAAAGGCTAAATGTCCATAGGTATGGCAATAAATACAAGCAGTATCTCCGTGCACAGGTTAAAAGGTCGGAGGCGTTGTTCGCAAGGTTCACAAAGCACGCCGAAGTGGTGATAGAACGAGGGTCACGTCACTTTCGAGTGGCCTCGCGACTGCGAGGGATGGGAGCGCCCCGACGTAAAGGCATTCTTCGAGAAGCATGCGTCTCGCTTCCACTCAGTGACTTTCCACGGGTGTGCAGTAGGTCTTACTGACAAGGAAGGGACCCCCATCAAGAAGCCGTGGCGTCTCATGACCACATCCAAGGAACTTCATGATGGGTTCCAGAATAGGACATGCCCCCACCAGCACTCCTTCAAGCACGCACAGGCCGCAGGTAGCAACACTGCACGCACCGCCTTTTACCCACAAGAGATGTGTAAGATAATCGCTAGTGCGTTATACCCGCATGTCGCAGCACCATGCGCGCCTGCAATGCCAGTCCAGGCTGTCACCGTGCAAGAGGAGCATCGGGAAAAGGAGCAGTCCTTGAAGCATACCTCCGCACTTTCGGGTGTTGGGGCTCTCGCGTCAGTGGTTGAATCAGATCCAACATCCCGCAGATTCTTTGAAGAACTCTTTGACTTGGATAACCTCGTTAGGGAAATTCAGGGAATTACAAAGCAGGAGACTTCTCCCGACATAGCCGCCATGGTCACAAAACTTCTTTCACGTTCAGAGATGCTTGCCTCGTCCGAGGCATTGCAGGCCGTAAAGGAAGAAGCAGACGGCTTAAGTAATGCGGGAGTTTGGGATCTCAGCACCGTGAGAGAGCAAGGAGAGGTCGCTGCTGAAGCGCGACGGACGCACACTAAAGTCCACTTCGGTCAACTAATGACCATCGCCTCCATCAAATTCTTTGAGCTAGCAAAGCATCTACAGAAAATGAAGGGGCGTATAGTATACCGAGGGGACTGTGCGCGGGACGAATATGGGGCGGCGGCCGTTTATCAAGAACTCGGCGCCAACCCTACGTCCGTTCAGGGTTTGAACAATTGCCTTGCCTACGGCTCACTGCCAGGTCACAAAACCACGGCGGCAGACGCCGTAAAGGCATATATCCAGGCCCTACTTCGATCTCAACATCAGACGTGGATATCATTGCCGCCGGAACTTCGTCCGAAGTGGTGGAAAGAAAAGTTTATAAAACCGGTAGTCCTTCTAGTAAAAGCACTCTACGGTCACCCCGACGCGGGGGGGCTATGGGAGCAGCACTTCAAGAAGATCTTGAAGGAGCAGACCGGAGAGGAGATCCAAGAATTTCCAGGAAACTTTTACTTCCCCTCAACCGGCTTAATGCTATCCACTTATGTGGATGATCTAACACTTTCAGGGCCGGCAGAGCAGCATGACCCCTTTTGGGAAAAGCTGATGTCATGTGTTGACATTGAACCCCCAGAACCGATATATCGTGTTTTGGGAAGGAATCATGTCATCATTAACGCCCCGAAGTGCGAGCCTAATCCAGCCGAGAGCGCAGCCTTTGGCGCGCTGTCCAACGCAATGGCTTTTGATATGGTTGACTATGCCAAACAAACTGTAGATTTGTATGTCTCCATTTCAGGTCAGCCGATTAGTAAACTCCGCAAGGCATTGACCCCATTCTGTCCAGAAGGGTCCTTGCCAACACAAGATGATGCCGAAGCAGGTGAATTGAGCTCAGCCGCTTGTAAAATCTTGATGAAGGCCTTGTGGTTGGGACGTCTTGCACGTCCAGACATAATCAAGCCCATCGGGGATCTTGCAACGTGCGTTCAAAAATGGTCGCGTAATAATGATAGGCAGTTGGCTAGGCTAATAGCTTATATTAACACGACCACAACGCACAGGTTGGTTGGCACAGTTCAAGACGATCCCAGAGAGCTGCATCTTGCGCTCTACGTCGACGCTGACTTTGCAGGAGAAGAGGGGGCCAAGTCCACGTCAGGGGGGTTTCTCGCCCTGAAAGGCCCGAATTCCCACTTCCCCTTAGCATGGATTAGCAAGCGCCAGACTTCTGTGTCGCGTTCCACTACAGAAGCAGAGATTGTGTCGTTAGCATTTTCTTTGTATCAGGAGGGACTCCCGACACTTAGTCTGTGGGATCGACTATTGGGTCGCCCAATGACCCTAAGGATCCATGAAGACAATCAAGCTACTATTCTGGTTGCAAGGAAAGGGCACTCCTCGAAGTTGCGTGCAATTTCTAGGACACATAGGGTTAACCTAGCATCCCTTGCAGAACAGTTACAGGAAGGCACTGGAGTAGAGCTTGAATATGTGAAGACCGATTTCCAAGCTGCCGATATCTTTACCAAGGCTTTGCCTCCGCATAAGTGGGATCACGCCTTGAGGCTCCTGGGAATGCGCACAGATCTCCCAGAAGAGCTAGAAGATACTCGATTCAACATCAAAAAGTAGAAAGTCATCCCGAAGGTAGTGCTGTGAGTACTAAGAGTGCCAAAATATCCTTCATCCTTGTAAAGCCTTGATGTCCGGGAGCAGCGTATCGCGCTCCAAAACAAAAGCTTACCCTGCCTTAGTGCACACGGCGAGGGGGGAGTCAAGAAATAACGACCCCTTAGCCCCCAAAGGCATGGTAACTTGCCTAGTTGTGTGGTCACTGATGTGAGGTTTGCTTGAGGCCACTTTGGTTTAGGTTGAGGGTTGCATGTCATGACAGACTTGTCTCAAAAGCGCACATCAAAAAACAGCGCGCTGAGTGCGGAACGAGAGTCTAGGAACCACCCCCTGAACCGCTGAGGGATTAACCACGGTCAATCCACCTCTTTTTGTTCAGGGCGCAGCCTTCGGCGCGCGTTTGGGGTTTCTTGCTCTTTTGATTATGGTTGTCGAAACCTCGGGCGCCCAGCATGAAGGCGGAGCGGTGATTGGCTATTGATTCTGTCGTAGAGGTTGACTCACTTCAGCATCACCACAATTAGTCGCGCAAACTTCCTCGCGGCTCGGATATACGCACATGAACATCTTTGAGGTTCTTCCTCGACCCTCAAACTACCGATAAAAAGGGAATCCCCCAACCATAGTTGTGGGTTGCAAAAAAAACATTTTTAACTTGGCATGTTGAGAGTTTAGCTTTATGTTTCCCAAAATGATTGCAAATGGCTCCCACTCTGTCCTTTGAGTCGGGTGTCAAAATTAGCAACCTGAAAAGGCTTAAGTCTTTTTCAATTCAGGTTTTCACTAGCCCCAAACTGCTTTTTACAGACAAAACGGGTTGTACACCCTTTTGACTGCTACAGAATTGTCACATATCCCATACCATGGGTGGGAAGTGGTTTGGGCTAGTGAAAACAACTCTAAGTTTGAGTTGTTGCGAAAGCTTTGTCATGGGCTCGTGTTTTGTTTGTTTTTCCTACTCTTTTTTTTTGGGGGGGGGGGACCCGCGGAAACCCGGCCTGAATCCCATCGACCGCATGCCAGTCCTGGATTCGAAGATCGGGGATGCGGCCTCATCCTGGGCCTTTTGGCCGCACGTGAAGCGATTGGCACGCCAACCCTATGAGCTAGGGGGAAAACTTAGGGCCCCTCTTCCCAGAGAAGTTAGAATCTTGCACGGATTCTGAGAACCTTGCTGGTGGGTAATTAGGACCTTTAATGTTCTTTGATTTTCTTGCGTGTGGGCTCTCGCCCCCCCCTTAGTATGTGGTTCATATCGCTGTTGCTGAGTGGGATTCAACCCACGTATAACTCACATGGATGCACTTCCTAAAGCTAACTTGTTCATTGTTGGATTCACGTAGGTAGGTGTCAAACCTGAACAGGAGCCCTCTCCAGCTCCGTTCCCAAGTTTCTGAACTGTCAGTTCAGCGGGAAACAAACTGAGCCAACAGGAACTTCGAGCCGGCGGTGTGCAATTTTGCCAGGAGGTGCCTCGCCCAAAGCCGACCTTTTGACCTGTTGGTTTCCCCAATTCCCCACTTTGGTTTTACAAAGGCTAGGCGGATAATTACTGATCCACATGGAGTTGGCACCCCGTGTTTCCATAAACTCCTTAGATGTTCAACCCACTTAGCACCTATAGGTTAAAGGTTTGTAACTGGGGCAACTGGGGTTTGTTGGCTTTGTAAGGGACACCAAATGCAAAACCACATTTGGAAAAGCGACAGATCCACATGACGGTTAAGCCACAATCTCAACCATGTGGATCTGCGCGTTTGATTCTTACTTATTTTGAGACTCCTTTGGTACGATTGAGCAAGTGACGCAACTCAGCCATTGCTCGCGCGAGTTGCAAGCTCGCCGATCCGTTTAGCCATTCCACCCCTGAAAGCCCGGCGGGGGTCCTTGTTTCAGGTAGGCAGACGTTTGAGATTGGCAACTCAGCTCTGGATGTGAACAGTGGAAAGCAAGCCAACCTTCTGCAGCCCAGACAAGCATATTTCCTTGCCAACTGCAATCCTCTAGCGAACAATCCATCCGTCCAAACCCTCTAACAAACCTCGAAAAGAGGACCAAACCTCTTAAGTAGACATTTTGCCGTTGCTTTCATGGCATGGTTTTACTTGGTCCGTGCTGATTCCGCTTGAGATCGCCCTTGCCATGTTTGAACAACTTCCATTAACTTGCATCAAACGAAGACCAGGTGAAGTTTGGGCGCAAGCCTCCAAAACATGTGCCATGGTCTTGGGCTCTCAGAATTAGGGATTATATTGGTGTGATGAAATACAAAACACAACTTTGAATCATGCCTGTTTTTGGGGAATCCTTTTATTGTTTGGTTTTTCGGGGAAATCAAAAGGAGAACCACCATGTAGAGGGGGGTTCCATTTTCCCAAATGACAAAAACCACCCAAATGATGATTGTGATGTACCGGGACCCGGGCCAAGGCGATCGGAGGTGACCTGCCCGGTGGACCTCTGCAGAAGGAGCCTTCAACGGGTGGGGCTGGGTCTTGGCCGGGTCTTCCGTGGACGTTGGCTTGGGCGTGGGGCCCTTGGACAGAAGGGGGGGGGGGTGATGGGGGGGGGTTTTACTTGGCTGGTCTTTGGTGTGACGTGAAAAAAAACCTCTTAGACCTTTTGGCAAACGGTCGTTCCATACTTGCAAAAGGGGATCGACCTTTTGGGGGGAAGAGCAATCCAGTTAACTAGGGGGTCTTTGCAAGCTCTGGCACGGGGGGGTCGCATTGAAGGCTTCTGTGTATCCACGCTGGTACAAAAGGGCTGAGAGTCTCAGAGAGAGTTTAGAGTTTAGAGGCGTGCAAGTGAGTGGGGGACTCTATACTGCAGCCATTTAGCAGGTTAGATCGATCGGAACCATGGGCAAGCGGAACATCAATCCGGGCCTGGTGGGGCGGGACGGGATACACCCGACAAGGCCATGACAAGGCAAGCGTCATGGATGCCGCCTCACCAGGCATTGAGTGGGTTCCCTGAGTGCCTACATTTGCGAGCTGAACTACTGGTGCAGGAGTAGATGATGTTCCATACCCCCAGGACATTTTTTCTGGTTTTGAATTCTGGGCTATAGGGTGAACCCAACCACCAACACTTGCATCCTTTCCGGGGTGATTGAAGCGGCCTTCGGGCCGCTTCTCATCTGAGTCAGGATGACATCATCGGCGTGGCCTTCGGTCAGGGCAACATCCCCAACCTCAGGCGGCTGCGGAAGCATGGCAACATATTGCAACCTAAACGCAGGATCCAAGGATCGATTCGGGCTTCCGGCCAAACCATGGAAGTGAGTCCACCAAACGACTCAAAGACTCCATGCGACAGGCCAATTGCAAGTCGGGGCTTCGGGGTGCAGGGTCCCACCAAGAAAAGTTCGTCTCAGAATCTGCGGCCAAACCCCGGGCATGCCCCGCCAGCGCTGTCCGCGAGGTTCTTCCGCAACGGCAAGGAGATCCCGGAGGCGGAGGTGCTGCGGATCCGCGGCGAGGCGCGTGATTGTTCGATCTGAACTCAGTGCCAGAGGTCTAGCTGGTTGGAAGGGATCCGGACAGAAGGCAGCTGGGGGTAATTTTTTGCCTTAGGGAGTTGAATAGGTACCGGAAGTTCTGGTTGGGGACATGCTGCGTGCGAAGTATCAACCAAGTTTAAGTTGGTTGCGCCAAAGGGGAAACCCAAATGGGAAACCAAAGGGCTCTTACTTGACCGGACACATGGCCCCATTTCACCGACGGAAGTCACGTGTTGGGTCGGAAGCAGTCTCCGACTTGGATGCCCAGTCCGTGGACTTTGTGTCAACCTGTGCGCCAGAAAAGGTAAGCTTCCATTTAGCTGAAATGGTGGTGGTTCAGCAAATGGAATACTATGGAATACTCAAAATGCATTTTGGGTCCGAGTGGTAAATGGAAACAAAGATTAAAGCCTGAGGATTGCCCTAGCGCTTGAATTTTGAGCCGCACCCAAATGAATACGTGTTAGTTTCCCGTTTTGGTTTTGAAGGAAATCTATGACTGGAAATATGTGTTTGCTTCCAGGGAACGGATTGGCAATTGAAGGCAAGTCAGCGAAAACCGGCATTTTGCATGCAGGAGAATCATAGGCGTTGTTCAAACATGCAATGTAAGCAACGGACAAGCGGACGGAGGTGCATGGCATGTTGCTTGACATGAGCTAGGAAACCAATCTGAATGGGCGCGATGCCCGTTTCACCTGACGTGTGCTGACTGAACCTGCGGCTTCGGATGGAAGAGGAGAAGGCTGTCGCGTTGGCAAAAGGGCCACGGAGCTAAAAAGACGGAACCCCACTGGAAAAGACCAGGCGAAAATCGAGGGAAACGGTTCGCCAGGCAGCCCCTGCGCAGGGTTGAATCGGCCAACCCCCTCGTTAACAACTGTTTCAATTATTATTTAAGCAACCTCATGTGGACTTCCCTTTAAAGAGGGGCCAGAGTTTGGTCCTTAGACAAGTTCTGCCCAGATATGTTGATTGGGCCTCATGTTGGATATTTTGAGTGAACCACTGTACCCTTCTTGAAAGGCTGTTTGGTCGGATCTTTAACCTTGAGCTTTTTGACCTTCCAGAAAGTTGAATACTTTGAGCTTTTTGACCTTCCAGAAAGTTGAATACTTTCTGGGCAGGGGGAATACCCCTTTTAGCCGGGGCTGTTGAGGCTGCTGTTGGGCTCCAGACTCCCATTCGCAGTGCCAGGTCTTTCCAGCCGCCAGCGTGTGCGATGGCGGTGACCTCAGACGATGAAAGGCTTGCCGGTTCCGCCAAAGCCATTTTGAGCGAAAACCCAAACCCCAGTTTCATGGGGGAGGGAGAAGGGCCACAACCCAAGTTGAAGGCGGCGCGGCGCAGGGCAAACAACCCCAACAAGAACAAAATAACCAAAACAAGGCGGCGCGGCGAAGGGCGAACAAGCCCCGAAAAAGAACAAACCAACCACACAGTGGGTTGCTTCCTGGTTCCCCTTGCCCGGATTTTCCCCAAAAACCCTCAGGTCTGGGTTTTCTCGTTGGTTTGGACCTCTTGTATACGGATCCCCGAAGCTCCAAACCAAGCTTTAGAGTTTGATTCCCCGGGCAAAATCCATTTCACACCCGACCGGTTGGTTCGATTAAACGTAAATACCGTAACAAGCCTCCTGGAGCCTCAGAATTCCAACTTCAAAGTGGGTTCCTGCAACTCAACATGATGGAATTTGTGAGTTTTCCTTTTTTTATCCTTAAGTATGGCTAGCAGGGTCCAACATTTATGGTGAGTTCCCTTTTTGGGTAGTCCTTTCGGGTCCAGGCTTATGATTTCATTCCCATAGCTCATTCAGCGTGGTGCTTTAGACGAGGCGCCGAGCTATTGCTGGTCTTCGATGCCGCGGACTTCGCTCACGACCCCCCAGGCGGCGATTCCCTTTGATTGGCGGGCGGTTATTGGCCGTTTTTGATGTGTTGGCGAGATGTAAAGGAAGATGTATCTTAGATAGATATGTGTTTTTTTTTGTATAGATATGTGTGTGTGTGGCTTCTTGTTCTAAGAATTTAAGTAAGGCCGGGAAAGGCCAGAGAAGCTAAAATCTGGCCTTGACTTGCGAGGTGGTCTGCAGGATTTTAGGGGTCAGGCTTCAGCACGGGTCGCGACGGCCATGTTGAACGCTTGAAGACCTTGAGAAGAGTTACACAGTGAATCACAGTAGATGGTACAAGTCCCTTGATGTGGGGATGACGAAAACCATATTGGGGAGCTGTCATCTACCCTCAAAATCAAACATATGGGCTTGGGGTGAATTCCTTTTTTAACGGTAGTTTGAGGCAGTTGTCACCCATGTGAGAGGTGTTTGTGTGCACAGAAATTGTAAGCCTTGCATTCTTTTCCAATGGGTTTTGGCCAAGCCCCCTTCGATGCCAGGTGTTGATTGTGGCTCATGGGTTTCGTTTCCAAGTGGGACAGACCTAATGTCTGGAGACGATTAGTAAACCCCCCCGATTAAAGGTTTCCCCTTTTCCCCCCCAGGTTCTCTCCCCCCCAGGTTCGCACCAATATTAAAGTAAAGGGCCAACAAGGTTTTCCCAAAAGAAACCTACCCAATCATTTTTGGGCCCTCCCCAAACCCCCCCGATTAAAGGTATCCCTCTGCAGCCCCCGAGCCAAAAAAGCCTGCCAGAAAATGGGCTTCCTTCTTGCTTAGTATTTGCTTAGTCTGTGCTTAAGCCCACCAATACCATTTTACTATTTAACCCCTCAAGTTTTCGTCAAACATGTGCTTCCCCCAAAATGCATTTTTCTTTATTGAAAGTTGTTAAAAATGACAAGGTTTTCAAGCTGCCAGCCCCCCCTCATTAACAGAAAACCCCCACGATTAATCAGGGCCCTTTTGGGCTCAAAACCCCAAAACCTGCTGTTGCCTGCTCGAGATTAATCAGAGGGGTCCTCCCAAATCTCACAGTTTTGGGGACTTCTCCAAGCCTTGTCGACCTTGAGAGGGGGGGGGAAAGGGGGTTTACTAATCAGTTGTCACCATTAGAAAATGTGTGGATTCTACTGTGAGACGAACTCCTGCACCACCGCTGGCACTGCTCGATCACCGCCGCTCGACTGATTCGCTGATTATTGACCGCACCTTCAAAATGAAACCATTGTTGAACAACAACATTGGTTGGTAGTTGCCTTGGGGAATTGAATCGTTTCAGGGTTTCTGAAAGGTGCGAAATGGATTTTTCAAGCAGCCACTGTATTTTTCGTCTTGCCCAGGTGTTCCAAGCCTTTGCAAGATGACCAGATCTCCAGAGAATTGGCATGTTCATCAGGTACCAAATGTTTACCTTTGTGCCTACAGGGAGGGAAAGAAAGATGCACCCAGGTACCTGCCGAAAAGGCCGGCGCCCCAACAAGATACTAGTACACCAAAAAAGATGCACCCTCAAAACAGACAGGTATTGTCAAGAAGCTCCAGGTATCTGGAAAGCCAAGGTCGGGTTTTTCCAGGTGTTCCAGTGCTCTTTTCCGAGGTTTTGAGTTCCTCCCCCGGGATCAGGGTTCCAGCAATACTTCCCCTTCACATATCTCACGAAAAACTCACGTATGGCCAAAGGGGTGAAGTTAACACAGTGGAAAACCAGGGACCCTGTTTGCGGTTCTTTTCGTTTCCCTGACTCCAAAGCCCTCTCCCCGAAAATGTTGGATTCGCCTTTGGGTGTTCAACGGGAAAAGCCGCAAGCCTCCCCCGAACCGGACGGCAGGCCGGCATCAGGCCATCGTGCCGCCCCGGAAGATGATTTGAGCGAGGGCTGGAGTCGGATTTGCGCCGACCGAAGGACCCTGGAACAAAAAGCCATGGAAACATGGAAGCAGTAACGGCTATAACTAGGCACCCTTTGGGCATCATTTACATGGGCACTCATCTCCACCATAAACATGGTGCTTCATGAAACATCATAGCCGAATTTTGTGCTAGCTTTGCTTGGGACAGTTTCAACACCCAGCCGTGTCTTAGAGGAATCTCTTGTTCAGGCAGCCCCTGGTCGACGCCACTCCCATTGGTTCCATGTCTTTTGCAGCGGAGTAAGCTTCTTGGTGTCACGGCCTTGGGACTCAAGCGAGTCCAGGAATCCGCAGCGTGTACGATCGTATCATTTCACTCGGGTGTTCAAAAAGGGAGGCCTTGGGGGACCCTTTTGGGACCAAGGGACATGAGCACGGCTCCCAATTGGGACCGTCACTCTTTTTGAACAACCCCCACATGACCCAATTCGGTTGCTGAAATGCGGCCGCTTTGCACCAGAAAAAAGAACGCTGGCAGGAACTTTTGAAGAGTTACAATAGAAAGCAAGTCCAAGGAGCAGGCAGGTTGTTGCAATAGCATCCTTTTGGACCAGGGGTTGGTTGTGTCAACGTTTACCCAACCGCCCAGCCAACTTTTGTGCAGTGAGGTGAACCCAGACCCAGTTGCAAGTGGGTTAGACTTTGCTCGGCAGGACACGGCACTCTTCGAACTGCACAAATTTTGAACTGTGTGCATCGCAGACTCCCTGGGGTGGTTGTGCAACCATTCTTTTCGTGTGTGCCGAACCGATTCTGTTTCGGTAGACATATCTCTCGTTCTCCAAAACAAGGGGATGATGTCAATCCCTCACCAAAAAGGAGGGACTTGCTGTTTGCAAGCCAATGATTCTTGTTCGACTTGACTCCAGATGGCATGGACTTGGAATTTGCGCTTTTCTAATCGTGCAGTTCGGAGAGTTCTTTGAGAATCCGAATCCGCCGTTTGTTTTGCTGAGAAGACACAGTGCATCCCTTGGTGAGATTTGTTCCCCTTTTCTGTCACTTGTTTGCCCCTAGATAGCCTTTTGATGGTTTCACGATTTGATGGCTTCGGAGGTATATGGTCAGCTACGCCAACCAATTCAAACCAACAATCCAAGCCACTTGGAGAGCTGACCTGCGTCAGATAGTCGTCAAATCCTTGCCAAGTGGCTCTCTCAACTGCTCGTATTCAGCTGAGAGCTCAAACCTGTGCCGCTCACCTCACAACTTTCAGCTCGCAAGATGGCAGGCGGGTCGCGGGCCTCGGGGCAAAGGCCACAAGCCTTTGGCACAAGCTCCAGGGACACCCACGACCAAAATTGGGCTCCAGATATTTCCCGGCCGGCGGGAACATCCCGGCGGGAACATCCACCGTTTGGGCGGATTTTTGGCGTGATGTTCTTTGGGCTCCCCTGGTGCAGCCTGACACTCACTACCCGAAGACATCCTCATACCGGCCTGGATAATCAGAGTGGGTTGTGCCAGGTGCTTGAAGACTAAATAGGTCATGACCAAGTTAATTGGTACTTGTACCAATCTAGCCTTTAAAGTATTGTTCCAGGACTCTTTGCTCCCCTTGGACATTCCATGGTTACATGACTTCCCCCAAACTGCATCAACATCTTGGGGCCAAAGAAGTTGCGAAGCAACTTAAGGCTCATATTGGGGTGCGTCTTTTTTGGGACCCCCCCAAAAGAAATATGCTGGTTCTCCTTTTGATGTTCCTTTAAAACCACCGAACAGGAACGGTCATATCAATCTTTGCAACCAATTTGGAAGCAGACACCCTGTGCCCATCCTGAAAGCCCACTGGGCTTTGACCCCGACAAGTGTTGACCGGCTTTGGTACCCCGAATCGCGCGTCCCGGGGGGTCTTGGCGGTGGGGGCTCTTGGGGGTGGTGCTCTTAGGTCCCTTACTTCGGGGTTGGACTCACCCGAAACTGGATTTCGGTCTTCGTTTTGGTTTCCCGCTTAAACTGTTTTTCAAATCTTAGACCCGCAAAATGGATGATTTTCCCATTGGTTTCCCTGAACCTTTGTTTTAGGTTGGACCCGGAAAATGGCCCCGGTTCTCCTTTTTGGTTTTCCGTTAAGCCCACCAAAACAAGGCTGCCTCCGAAAACAGGAGCACTCTGGCAACTGAGCAATGGTCAAACTTGGACGCGCCATTTCAAGTGGGTGATCCTTTGCTCCAAGTGAATCAGAGAAAGCATAGCCATCCATTTTCTGGGTCCAAGCCCCAAAAAGCAGACCATCCATTTTCTGGGTCCAAGCAACAAAACAAGCAGGACACCCATACCCACGGTAAAGCAGGATCCAGGATACACGTACCCACGGTACCCGGTGGTTTCTATCCTCCGACCGACCGGGGGGAGGCAAGAGGAGCTCCCGCGCCGTGCTGGTCCTGGGCGCCTGCGCCGCGCTATATGGCAAGGCATGGAGAAACCCAACCGAGGGGCTGGGCTGGGATGGGGAAACCAGACAACTTGTATCTGCTGAAATGTGCATTTGTTATTTTTGTTTTTTCTCCTCTTGGTTTTAGAGGGAAACGATTTCACTACTAATTGGGAAACCAGACAAAAGATGGGGCAACCAGAAATGGGCTGGATTCCAACCGATTGGTTGGGGAAGCCAAAGAAGTTCTGGTAAAATGGTTTCCCCACGTGGTTGGGCTGAAATCCGTGTTGAGCATTTGGTGTCTGTTGATAGGTAATGGCGTACCGACATGATACTGGCTCAAGAAAAATAAGCTGCCGCCCGTGCTGACTTTTAGGTAGATCCCACCTTTCAACAGGTTATCAGCCGTATCGCTGGTACCTTGTACAGTCAGCTCTCACCCGCGCCGCAATGGCGTCAAGCGGCGACGGATGCCACCCTGCCATAGCGAGGATGAACGAAGCAGTGGCCAACGAATTGATCAAGGGTGGGCATCCGGAAGGGAAACCGCCATGCAATCCGTCACAGCGCTCCCGAAGCAGTTTTCCTGAGTCCGACCAAGGCGATGCGCTTGTGCCCATCACTTCGGTCGTCCTTCCGGAGGATTCAATGGGAAGCGGAGGGGAACCTCTCGCCGGACATCAACCTGGGCAAGAGATGCACGCGCACATGACTAAGAATGAGACTCACCTTCATCAACATCATGTGAGCGCCCCGAACATATATCAACATAGCCAGACGGTGAATGTGGTCAACACAGGTCCGAGTACGGAGGAAGTGGCTGCCTATGCTTCGGCACGCCACGACACCATCATCAATCAGCTCCAAGCAGGCCATGTTGAGGAAAAAGGCCGACTCTATCAGGACGCGGTGAACCACATCAATGAATGCCAACAAGAGGCAATGGCGAAGGAAAGAGAGTTCAACGAGGCAAGGCAGCAATGGGTTGCTCAACGCTCAGAAGCGGAACAGAAGTATGAACGGCTCAAATTGATTTGGGAAGTCACCCACAACAAGCAGAAGGAGGAAGCGGACAGGAACGCTGCTGAAATGAGGGAGATTATCATGAAGCAGTCGAGGGACATTGAGGCATTACGTCATGAACTGAAATCTCGCAGTGAGCAGAGTAGTTCTTCTAATGTTCCGATTTTCGGTCTGAGGCCAAAGGCCTCTCCTGTACAGACGTTTCCTCCTCCCGGCCTGGACCTTAGTTCTAAGGTACGTATCAGGTCAGCTTCCGCCGAACTCCGCCGTGATGGGCCAGGTGCCGCCGATGATCTTGACGGGGATGCCGAGGAATACGAACCGACATCTCCGGCACAGGACCCTAACGATGGTGATGGAAATCCACCAGGCGCAGGAAATGGCCAGAGCGGAGGCGGTGGGGAACCACCTGCCGGCAATCCCGATGATGACGATGATCACGACGACGACGATGACGATGGGAATGACGATGGGAAGAAGAGCAAGAAGGACAAGAAGAAGAAGAAGAAGGATAAAAAGAAGAAGAGCAAGAAGGACAAGAAGAAGAAGAAGAAGAAGAGCCACAAGAAGCGAAAGAGTGGGTCTCCTTCCGACTCTCCAAGCTCTTCATCGTCCAGCTCCTCAACATCATCATCCTCATCATCATCATCGGAGAAGGCACGAGTGATCCGCAAGAAGCTCAACAATATCTTGGGTAAGCAGGCGAGCGCAGTGGACGCAGACCATGACAAGCCCAAGGTCAAGGAGGCGGAGAGGATTATCATTCCCTCCTTCCCACTTCCTGAGAGTTACAGGAATTGGCGCATCAAGGTAAGGGAAGCCGTGTGTGCGGCATCCGATCGCCCCGATGACGCTTTCACGTGGATCAGCAGAGTGTGGGAGCCCGCCGTCACGATCGAGGAGCTCAAAGAACCCGGTACCTTCCTCACCTTGGACGCCAAGTTGCTGTCCGCCCTCACCAACATCATTCAGGGTGACCTGGCGAGACAAGTCGACACCTTCAAGGAGGTAGAGGCGCAGAAGAGGAATCCAGTTCGTGGGAGACAAGTGCTTCTCATGGTGCACGAGCACCTGAGTACGAACATCAAGCACGGGGCCACCTATGCCATGGAGGATCTCCTCAATGTGAGGCTCGTGAATGATAACCTCACTTCCTTCATGCGCAGCTGGGAGGGTGTTCTTGCAGGAATGAATGCCAAGACGCCGGATGACTCCATGCTTGAGGCTCTGTTCTACAACCAGCTGAAGAAAAGCAAGCAAATGCAACACCATTTGAATGTCTATTTGAGCGCCTCGGAAGAGTCCGCCGATCACTCATACACCTACTTGATTGAATCTGTAAGGCAATACCTGTCTCGAGCCAGGCTCGAGCGCAACCGAGAACGGGTTGCTAGGCAGAACGGGGGTAGGCCAGCCGCACCCGCCGCTGAGAGCCAACGTGTGCCTAAGGGGTTTTGCATTGCATTTGTCAAGTATGGGTCGTGTCGGCGGGACAATTGCACGTCCAAGCATGAACAGCCATCGGGCGATGCCAGGGGTAGGACCCCATCAAGAGACGCTAAACCTAAGAAGGGTAAGGGTAAAGGCCGAACGAATAGCCCAAAGGGAAAGAAAGAGTGCCGTTTCTACCCTAAAAAAAAGGTGTGACCGTGGTGAAAACTGCCCGTTTGCTCACATCGACCCGAAGCCGGCCGTTCCAGGGTCAAGGGAGCCATCCGCAGACAAGCAAAAGAAGCAGGGAAAGGATCGGAAGCATCGCAAATCGAGCAGGGATCGTTCCAAGTCGACCTCTCGATCCACATCCCGTGATTCCAAGGGAGAAAAGAAGAAGGGTCACAAGGGAAAGTCTTCCGGAAAGCCTTCTCCTGCTGCTGTTTGTGTGTTGGGGTGCTTGTTGTCTTCCATGATGAACGCCCCTATCGCTGAGGGGAACCTCATGTCGGACTGGAAGCATGCGCCTGCCCTCCCGGGCGTGCGTTTCAGCTCGAAGGTTGAAATGAATCGGATACCAGCACATGGTGAGCAGTTTAAGATAGCGGACAAACCGCGCGTGTATTCAAAGGTCTACCCAATCGACCATCAGTTTTTCCATGATGAAGTCAGCATAGATGATGCTAGACTCGGAGCAACCATGCTTGCCTTCATTGTGAGACGTGAATTGGAAGGCCATCCGACTAGATGCAAGTACGAATGTGACAGCGAGATCGGATGCTGGCAATGCGCCCCGAGAGACATGGGCGCAAAGCCCGCCCTGGCGAGCAAGAGATTTTCTCCGAACTGTTCATGGATTATTGACACTGGGAGTGGGACTGACCTTTTTACTCGTGCGAATTGCCCCGAATATGCAATTTATAATTCAAATGATCCCGTGATGTTGATGACTGCCAATGGACCAAGTGATTCGTCAAAGCAGGCCAACATGGCCGCAGGTGACCTAGGGAACACGGATCCATACTTGTTGCCACAAACACCCTCTGTTCTCTCTGTAGGTTTGAAATGCATGAATCAGGGTTATGACTTCATATGGTACGCAAAGGATAAGCCATTCTTTGTCAAGCCTGATGGAACGAAAATATATCTCAAAGTCCGAGATTATGTCCCGTACTATGACGTGTGGGATGGCGACTCAGCAATGGCATGTCCCGCCAAGGGCACACCGCCAAGCCGACCGGAAGGTCAGGTCGGCAGAAGCGATGCATCGAGCGAGTCATCATACTCCTCCTCCGTGCAAACTGCAGATGCTGAGGAAGAGGAGTACACGCCTAGCATTGCCCCTCTAGAAGATCCTGAGGTGCACGCTAGAGTTGTCGCCGAGCTCCTGGCGGATGACCCCATTGAAGTCAACCCAAATGAACATGCTGAGCCGATAGAGAATAAAGATTTGGCAGGGGAAGATGTTGTTGGCAATCCCGATAAGAAAAGCCCTAGATCACTTGCAGAAAGTGCCCTAAGGCAGGAAGCAGCATCACGGAAGCACTTGATGACACACCAGCCGAAGAATCCATTCTGCGAAGTGTGCAAATGCGCCAAGATGACCAAGTCTCCCTCTCGCTCGCGGGGGGGATCCAGACAAGTTGATGCTCGAAAATTTGCTGAGCATATCACAGCCGATTTCATAATCACTGCAGACGAACAGGAACTAGGCATAGACGATGAGTACTCTGCTCTTGTCATAAGTGATATTTGCCACCGGTTTCAAATATGCATACCCTTTTGCTAAAAGAAACACGGAAGCCACGGTGAAGGCATTTCAGCATTTCACTTCCTCGTCAGACGAGGTTGGCACGTTTTATAGTGACAATGCCCCTGAGTTAATTGCTGCAGCTGAACAGATGGGCTGGAGACATGTCCTCAGTCAGGAATACATTCACAAATCGAACGCGGTGGCTGAACGAAGCATCAGAACCGTGCTCGAGGGAACTCGAGTCGCACTTGCACAGGCCGGATTGAATCATTCATACTGGCCGCACGCAGCAAGGCATTGGTGTTTATCTCAAAATGTTTGTGAACCACCTTCTGGTTCCAGAACACCTTGGAATCTTAGGTTCGAAGAAGAGTTCAAAGGTCAGTTCTTGCCGTTCGGATGTCGCATTGACTACTGGATTGGCCCAAGGCAGAAACCGAAGAAAGACTTGAAGTTTGATCCCACGTCCAATCCGGGAGTGTTTGTTGGATATGTTATCCACCCCGGCTTTCTATGGAGAGGTGACTACCTTGTTGCATCGTTGAAAGAGCTGAATGAGACGGACTTTGATGATGTTGTGAAGTTGCATCGTGTTTTCAAAATCACGAGGCCCGATGGAAACTTTGTTTTCCCGATGCAGGACCGTTACAAGTCCCTTCGAGAGGGTAAGATTTCTTCAGATCAGTCTGGTCCCACCATTCAGGATGCCCCTCTCCTAGAAGCGGGACAGGATCCGGAGGCTGTTGCCGACGTGGAAGATGAGACGCTTCTAGATGAACCTGCTCCATCCAAGGTGGAAACAATCAAAACTGTTGATCACAAAACTGGTG